ACAAATAAATTTTGGAGTTTGTTGAAGTATCCAATTTTGACCTCAATTTCCAGCTGCAATTTCGTAAGTCCATTTGAGCTCTTAGTATCAGAAATAATAAACATTGTTCATAAAATGTTCAAAAAAAAAAGATTTACTTTTTTTTTCGAGATATGACATAAATACTTTTTCAGTTACTTTCTCCAAATGAAAAGAAAAAAAAGAAGGCTGCAACAGACTAACCTAAGACATTCTCGGTCAACTTTACAGTCGTACAGACAGGCCAACAGTAACAACATAAGTATAAATGCCATCAAAAAAATAGGTAGAAGCTGTGAGATTGGCACTTGAAAAGTCTCTTCAGAATTTTTTTCATCAGAAGTCTTTGTGGCGATTGTTGTAGCCATCAGAGTGGACACTGTTGAGCTTGACGCTATAGCGCTATTGTTGTCCATTTTTTGGCCCTTAACAGTCTGCATTAACATCTGCTTTTTGCTTCCATTTTTTTATCTAGTTGTCGTCCCATACGTCAAATAACTGTTTTTTTAGAACGTTTTCTTATCCGATGTTAATGAACTTATTTCCTGACTGTATACAGCCGATACGAGAAGATAACTGGCAACCGCAGTTTCAAGAAGAACCCTCACAGATTATGATTCTTTAGCTTCTTCATTCTTGTTGACACTTACTGCCCAAAACAGGTTCCTTTTCAAAAATTTGCACAATTTTTAAGCATCAAATGGCTTTTTTTAATAGGTAAAAATGTTTAATCTCATTCGCCTGTTCAATAATATACTTAAAAATTTGTACAAAAAATGCTTTTCTTAAAACACTTGTGTTAAACTTCAAAGTGATACTAAAGAAAAGAATGAGAACGTAAAAACGTAAAAGAACAGGGAAAAAGTATTCTGCTAATAACAGAATGCAAAATGCGACTACAGTAACTTTAAATTTTTCTGCTACGACTGCCGTTTTTTGCACAGATTCTCAGCTTTGCACAGTTTCGGCTATGTCAAAGTTTTAGACGACAAAGAACGACAAGCACGTTTCAAAAAATTTCACATCATTTAAAGTAAGAATTGTAATTTAAACGATACCAACAATTCTTTTTCTGCGTTC